CGGCTTCCATAGTGAGTTTTACAAGAACGTTTATTCAATGGCTTCCATGTGTATGTATGTATGTATAAGCATTTTTTCATCAATCCCTATCTACAGCACCGCACTAATTATCGTTAATAAAGAATTCTCGAAACTAAATTCCGTAGCTGAACTTCGATTTCAATCTAGTTTCGTATCACCTTCTTCCTTTTTCTAGAAATATGGGTACAAAATACAAAATGAATGAATTTGGGTATGACATAGATTCATATAAAGAACATCCAATATCTTGTATCTATAATCAAACTTTGAAAATTCCAAAGTTTGTTGTAAAAAAAAATTGTAAGATTGTTTCATCCGTCATTTGGTTGCTCCCTTACGAGCAACCCTCAGAAGTCTTCGAAAGTCTTGTGCGAGCAAGGAATGACGGGGGCCTTACCTTTTAACGTGTGATCCCAAACACTTGTTACATGCCAAACACCTATTTCTCGAACCCTTCTCTCAACTGACTTCAAGGAATTGTAGTTTTTAAGAAAATACTTCAAATAAACACTTTCTTCTCCATATAGCAAAAAAGTTGGGTGACGTTCATATATTTCATATTGAAATGTGGTCATTCATCACTTCATATCATATGAACGATCTTATTCTCGAGTGTACAAGAGCAATAGGAACATAAAAGCAGGTCGAACTGAAAGTATACGTAGAATCCCCACATGACGTGAGAGCAGGCAACACTGTGACCGGCGTTCGCTCTGCGCGTGGCTGGTAGGCCTCTCTGCAGTCTGTCATTTTACGGTTCTGCTGCATTACATTCTGATGAATTACGATTCTGACAATGTACGGTTTTGATTTTTTACGGTTCTGCTGACGTACAGTTCCTATATTTCACGATTCTGTCGATGTACGGTTCTGAATTTTTACGATTCTGTTATTTTACGGATCTAACATTTTACTAATCTGCTGAATTACGGTTCTGATAGTTTAAGATTCTATCACAATACAGTATATGACATTACAGTCTGATGAAGTACATTCTGTCATTGTACTTTCTGATATAATATGATTCTGATAGAATACGGTCTGTTGTATTACGAGTCTGTCGATGTACGGTTTTAGCATTTTACGATTCTTTCAATTTACAGTTCTGATATTTTGAGATTCTGTGAATATGCTGTTCTGATTTTTTGCTATTCTGTCAATGTACGGTTCTGACATTTTACTATTCTGTCGATAAACGGTCTGTTGTATTTCGATTCTGACAAAGTACGGTCTGCTAATGTGCGGTCTGTCATTCTGCGATTCTGACGAATTACGGTCTGTGTTGTTATGATTCTGACGAAATATCATTCCGCTGTGATGTTGGTTTGTTAGTTTTCGATTCTGTATATTTGCGGATCTGCGATATTGCTATTATAGAAAAATACACATCTGCGCATTTGCAATCTGTTATTGTCTGGTATGCTCATGTACAGTATACAAAATACGGTTTGAGGGATTGCGGTTCTGTGCATCTACAGTAGAGATAAATACGATTCCTATAAAATATTGTTCTGTTAAGTTACTGGTTTGAAAATGTATATTCTGATGGATTACGGATCTGCGATTTTACATTCTGGTGATTTGTGTGTTCCCCAGCCTATTAACGTCAAAAAATTCCCAGTGTAATTTCATGATCCGTCCCCCAAAGAGGAGGAACAAATTTCCAAGAAATTTGTTTAGTTGCTATGGTAATGATATGAAATACAGGCTATAAATTGATCGAAAATGTTTGGTGTGATATTGTCTGCCTAATTTACTGTTGCAACTGTAAATTAGGCAGGAAACACTTTTTTCAATATCTCGTAATTCACAGTTTCCACTGTAGATCAGGAGGTTTCTTGAAAAAAGTTTTGTCTGCCTCAATGTACAGTTGCAAGTGTAAATTAGGCAAATATTCGTGGAGAATGAAGTTACTGCGATCAAGATTTGCACTATTAGAAAGCCATTTGAAATGTTTTGAACTCAGTTTTCACTTGGAACATGCCACACGTTTATTTTTTTCGGATATGCCGGAAATGTATGGTATTATATTTGTTGCTGTTGATGGTTGTTTCACATCAAAATCATTGGAAATGGAGATATCCAAAGGAAAAAATTGAAGAATTTGCTTGCATTCTTGTTAACGGAGATAATAACATATCGCAGTTCCAATAGAAAAGACGCACAAGTGCAAAATTCTCGATTTTTCACAATTATCCTCATTTGATAGATCTCGGTCCCACTCATATAGCATAAAAATGTCATGAATGTAATACAATCACGTGACGCCAGAGTGCGCTATAGTGTATTTTTTCCACTGAGCCATTTATAAAAGAGAACAGCGTCTCATGGGCCAGTTGAGTTTTGGCAGTGAAAAACTGTACATCGCATTTTCATGGAAAAAAGACATAAGGTTGGATACATTTTCAGAACAATTGAGAAATCATTATATTTCAAATAGAACAGTGACACACAACTGTTTCTTATTGCAATATTCTATCGGAAAGGTGAGTTATTTTGTATGTATATCTTCATATTATGACATCCTTCTATTGAAATGTCGTACAATTTGTAATTTTTTTCTGTGGTATCTATAATTTGTGTCAGTTTTTAACTACCTTTCAAATGATTAAACAGATAAATATTCAAGTTGTGAGTTATTCTCTTCGAATATAATTCTCATTTTTCGTATTTTTCTCTAGAAAAAACAACAAAGATGGGCAGTCGCGCCGATATAATTCTGAAAATGGCCAGAGAGAAAATGCGTCAAGATAATAAAGAGAATCTGAGCAAGAACAGGAAAAGTTCAAACGAAGCACCTGTTCAGTTATCGAAATCAAAAATATTGCTTGATCCTCCTGTTGATACGAACATGAAGAGAAATTCCGATACTACTTCCGTTCATACTCTTGCATCTTCTGATACTAATAGTCAGAGATTCACGGCTTGACTTGATATTCAAGCTACTTGACTTGACTTGACTTGAAATCAAGTCAAGTTCAAGTCAAGCGAAAGTTTTTTAATGTCAAGTCAAGTCAAGTAATTATTTATCAAGTACTTGAAAAATCAAGTAGTTCTATCAAGCTACTTGATTTTCAGCAGTTTCAATGTGTATCTATACAGCGTGACTCACGGTCGATGTTATAGGTTAGACGTTTATGGAGAACGCGACGCGGGATTTTTCTGAAAATTTCGCATACACAAAAAATTCCTGAAGTTGAAAAATCTCGATTTTTCGCACTCTATATCTCCATAATCATTTCCGCTATACCCCGAGTGTGATATATCGATGAAATCAACTCTTCAAGGAGAATCTGAAAATGCAATAAAATACAGGGTGTTCAATTCGAAATAACAAAGTGGTTCCTACTTTTCTATAGAAGCGGCAACGTCGTGATTTTGAAAATATATTAGATCGATAGTACCGGTGATGAAATGTGAGATGCGAAATTTTCAGAAAAATCCTGCGTTGCGTTCCTATCATAAACGTGAACGTCTAACCTACCATCGACCGTGAGTCACCCTGTATATAACTGATGAAATGAAAATGGCATCGTAAGACTGACTGCGCGATCGATTCAGTCAGCTCGGATCTCGGGAAACCCCCGTATTTTGTCTAAGCGTGAGCGAGCTTGCAGAAATATACGCCGTGCGACTCGTGCGTATCAAGATCAAGTATTATCAAGTAGCTTGATTTCAAGTCAAGTAATAAATATCTCAAATTCAAGTCAAGTACGTAATTTGCCACGAGCTTGATTTTCAAGTCAAGTCAAGTAGTTTGTTAAAATATCAAGCTACTTGACTTGATGAATCTCTGCTAATAGTGAACACGCTCGTGAACACGTTGATAAAATCTCTGAGACAACTTTCGTTGATCCCCCTGTTGCAGAAATCCTGGATTGTTGATCCTTCTGCTGCCACTATTTCACTCTGAGTGAAAATAAAAAGAAAGACATTTTGAGTCTACTGAACAATAATATTGTTCCAAAGTACTATGAATCCTTCTATAATAACGTGTTCAATATGTCCTAATATTTTTATGATAAATGTGTTTTTTTAATTTTCAATAAAGATGTTGATGTCATTCCATTCGATTTCATATTCTAGTTTGAACTACCATTCTCCATATTCATATCGAACTCCAGATTGGTTCTAAGGTTCAAGAGAAAAGTGACATAATTCCAATAAAAATACTATTATTATAAATGAAATATCAAAGCTGTAATTTCAAATGAGAAATCCACTGCTCACCCGAAACTGATATGTACCTACCTCGTTTATAAGAAAATATGTTATACTCAGAAAAACGAAAAATCATGAAATTTGCGGCTAAAAATGGAAGCATAAGAACTTCGAAGTGGATTTTCTCCGAATATAACTTTTAGCATTTGTGCCTTTTTTCTGTTGGAGCTGCGATATATAGCTTCCTGTTTAGTTGATATAGATGGATTGAATATATGGTATTCACTATTCGAATCAGAATATGAAAAAGGTGAATTCAAGATCAAATAATGAAAATATCTGTTTGTATCAACATCTGTCACTGAGAAGTGCCAACAAAGGAATCCGAAGATAAGTTGTCAAGAATAATATTTTCCATTCATATTGAAAGCGGGATCAGCTACATTTCCAAACCATCCAAGGCTAAGTGAGGGTTTGATATATTCCTCTTCTTCAAATATTTTCCAAAACAAAGTTTCACTGAATATCGATTGAATTCTTATTTACACTAACACGAGGGCTATCTAATGTGAAATCTTCGAAAATCTTCAAACGCAGTGACATTTTGGAACGAGCAAATCAACTTATCCAATTTTATTTATAGAAACAGAACAGGAGAAATGGATGTTCCACCTCCTCGATTCACCTACATGCACTATTTGATATTATGATCATTCAAACCTCTGGCAGGAATGATCGAATAACAGACTGTGCTATTGATTGCATAACCTTCGGCATATTCAATATTCAATAATCAGTAGGTATCTGAAGTATCTCACCTTGGCTTGAAACGTAATACCATGATGGAAGGCCTCCTCAGGATGCAGTGGAATTCTTGTGTCGTAGTCATCATTCTGCACCAAGTCGTATTGCCTTTTCGATGGCATTTTATAATGTTTACATCTTCACTGAAACGGCACTCGCACAAATCTAATATATTCCTGGCACACTGATGAATAATAAATATTGAAGATGTTTTTCCGATCACGACACTTTCACCGAAAATAAATCGAGTGGTGTTTCGAACACCAAGTCAGAAATAAACTGAGTAGGTACTCCTCGATATTGTCCATGCTTCCATGTATCAGCATCTGATGGTCTGGGGGGTCATGACTAATGTTGATTCATTAAGTTGTGTTCCGGCTACATCTGAAACAAGAACGGACATTGTTAGTTCCCAAGAATTTGATTGATTCTGGGAAAAAATGGTTTCTCATTGAGCATTATAGAGAGTTCCCACAGATCGTTAACCAGATGGCTCGTGTTACGTATGTTATGTAGATTCATTGAATTTTTATGCATCTTGTCATTCCATTGTAATTGCACTGACATTGTAGGTAGTTATTAGTTATACACAGAATGAGTGGTGAGTCTCGGAAACATTCAGTAGAATTTTCAAGAAGAATGTTAAGGTAGAGGTAGAATCTTTAATTTCATGGGTTGAATTATTACGGAACGAGCGACGAGAGACAAGCGAGTCTGCAATAACTGAAAGAAGTTTCAAAGTTTTTCATCTTCATTTTTGCTTCTACAGATTTTACGAACTGAGCAAATCAATTCGTTTGTTTGACAAAAACATTGTTTAGTCAAGTATTGTCAAAGGTGAATGATAAAATGTCATTAATGGTTTCCACACAAATAGATCAATTTTATAAGAAATTGAAGAAACTACGAGAAACTATCAAAGTTAAACAAATTCATCGCCTTCTCGAATCGCTAGGGAGTATAGGATGATATACAAGTTTATTGACTATATTGATACTAGCGAGAAGTAGAATATAAAATGGGAAATATAAAAAGAGAAATACGAATGTTAGAAGGCATTGAAAATGAAGTATAACTGAAAAATTATCAGATGCTATGCAAATAAACAAAGATCCCGTTATATGTGGGTATCTTCATGAATTTCAATCATAGTATTAATTATGAGTTTCAATCATAGTTATTCGAGTGGAGTTTGCAGTGCGGATGGATAGAATGCGAAAATTACCGACATTTGAGTACAGGAAAAAAGATTAATTTCATGGTGGAAGTAAAAAAGATAACATAAAATTGATAGGAACGCGATGGTTACTTATATAGAAATGAATATATATATACATGATTTCCTGACTTAACAACTAAAACAATGATACACTTGAATTGAGCAGAAACTCTAATTCAAACGGAAGATATATATTGACTATACTATGTCCCGTGGATAGTATAGTCAATCTATCTACATGAAGAATATAATCTTTCAAAATTTGTGTCAGTTGAGGATATTAGTGTTATGAAATATATATTCTTATTTTCATCAGGTGAATGTAATATATTCTTGAAGACAAATAATACTCAATCATTATTTTCTTGAGGATTCGGTTTTTGTCTGGTATATGGTGAGAATGGTCTATCATTTGGATTTCATTTTTCAAAGAACAGTTCAGTTGGATAGCACCGACAAAATGCCGTACTGCAATCATGATTCCACCACTTCTAGAAACTGTGATTCCACCATGCAAATTATAACATAATCTCATTTGTTATTTTCTTCCAGGTTTTCGAAATCTTGTATCTTGGTTACGCTCTTAGTCTATATACTAGTGGTGGGAACGTCATCTAAAAAAACTTCCAGATAAACCTAGGAATTTTGATTCAAATCGTTGTTTTCAGAAAACTAACAATTTGATCCGGGAGCATGCACCAGTCTTCAGTCATCAGAAATTAAAATTATACTCTAGTTCCTAGAGGTGCAAAGTTCAAAGATTATTATTATCAATCATTCTTCTTCTTACTTGAATGTATGCTAACATTGCTCTTGTCACTATACAAATCTTGACTATATCACGATCACGAGATGTGACAATACCTACCTAGTCGACTATTTTGTTCACAGAAAATATACTTACCTGCATTCCTTTCGGATTTGTAATAATGCATTCAAGAAAAAAGCCACTCCCAAATATTTATTCAGGAAATGAGTGTAACTTGTCAGAGATTTTGTATTGAATTTCATTCATTTTAGAAAAGAGAATGTTTCCTTCGATACCTTGCAAAAATATCTTATTCCTACTAGTTTCTAATCTGAGTAATTGACTGCATCAAACAAAGACTGCAACATGAGATATCCCATACCATAAGCCTCCTAAAGCAAAACAAAGACCACGAGGTAAGAGTTGTTATAGACACAAGTTGACCTTGACCATTATTATAAAGAATGAAATCTACTTCTTGCTGGGTTCGCTGAACTATCTTCCTCTCAGGTGGAACTTATATAACAAAGAAGATGAGATTATGATGAGAACGTAGATGAAAACGAAAATTCATCGATGCATCCGAAACGATCAGAATATAAGTTGATCTGGGCTGGGACCGACGACATTGATAGAAGCAAATGTACAAAAATATATTCGAATATACAGGAAAAATAAATCCATGCACTTGATTACATAATTTTCCCATGATTACGGGAAGAAAAATTCGTTTGGAACTTAGCCCATTTTGAGGGACGTGCTATATAGTATTTAACACATTTTTATGAAATGGAATTGAAAATCCAGTTTTTGGTACTTATCCTCTTATTCAAGTCTACTCTTCAAATAAGATGACTCATGGAAACAAGAGAAAAATGCTGTTGTTGATTTTCAAGATATTTGAAATGTCAAAAATAATGTTCGTGGAACATCGTGCGTACTTAGAGAGGATAGGAAGAGGAGGTAGGTGTTGGAATGTTTTATGAACATTTGGTTATAAGTTCTTGGGAATACTTTCATTGGCAAATAATTCCAAAGCTTCGCAGTTCTATATATGAACGAGTTTTGGTAGACTGTTATTGTTCGACAGTTTTCAAGGTTAACGACGAAGGGATGTGCTGACTGGGCTTGTCGAATTCGTCTGACTGGCATTGCTAGTGATAGCATTATAGCAGAGATTTCTGAGGAACATTTCCCGTGGAAGTATCTATATAGAAAAGTGAAATATCGCCGATTTTTCTACGGTGTTCTAATGGGGTCAAAGAGTAAGAGAGTGTGGCATCACCCACCAGGCGAGTGGCTCTTCCCTGGATGGAATCTAAGAGCATCAGCGTATGTTTCGGTGCTTAACCCCATAGATTCTAAAACTGGCCGTATCTGTGCTTGTACCACAACGGGTAATTGAATGAACAAAAATGGTAAATACCGAGAGGAAAATAAATACTTTTCTGACTATATGCCTTACAGAACATTGAAATACATCCTCCCGGTATCTATGGAACGACTCGTAAAGACCAATACAGCTGACTACCTATAGAGACCGATTTCGAGCTTTGGGCTCTCATCAGTGCAGGGGTGTCTCCAGATGACATATTGACCGCGATCTGGTGCTAACCTAACCCAAACACATTTCAGCATTCAATATGGGATGTGTTTAGGTTGTTCATTCGATTTTTTTCGCTCATTTTTGAACAGTGAACAAAAATGTGTTTTTCATATGCCAACTTTGAACTCGTCTCACGGACCATCAGTGAATTTTGTTATATAAATAAATTGGGTGCAATCACCTTATTTTGAGTTGTTTTATACGTGGTAGCTCTGTCTCAGCAATTTTGGGACACCCTGTATAAAAATCTTTCGATGAAAATTCATGTTTTTTTTTATGTTCTGGTTATCACGAAAAGGGATATCTTGAAATGTTCAGAAAACATCGTGAGATTCAAGGGAAATAAGGTAGGAGTTGGCGTTCTTCTTAAATTTCTGGAGGTCATATGCCTCGGGAAACACCTCCCTTGGCAATGTGTTCTGGAGTCTCGCTGTTCGTTGGATGAACGAGTCTTTGGAAAGAGATGTTCTGCAGGTCTCCAAACTGACCACGAAGGGGTGCGAAGCCTCAACTCGACGGGTTGGGGGGACTGCCAAGGGAGAAACAATTGTTGATATTACAGAAGAGCATCGTCCATGAAAATATCTATAAAATAGAGCTAGATCGCCAACTTTTCTACGGTATTCCAGAAAAGTGGGTGAGTTTGTGAGCTAGGCATCACCCACGAGACGAATTGCCCTATTTTGGACAGATTCCAACAGTTTTAGGGTATTTTAGAGGGTATTTTTGGGTGCTGCACTCTAAATATGGGAAGAGTATTCCAGGACAGGTCGGATCTGTGCCTTATAGATCATATGAGCAGCTGACTGGAAGTGAAATAGCTCCTGGTGAGTGTCCATCACGCTTTAGTGATGAGTGTTACTTATATATGTATAAGAATTAATGAGAATTCATGACAGTCTTCTGCTGGAAAGTCATATTGCTCCATTTTTTATTGAACGAACAAATATGAAAGCAAAATACAAAAAACAAAAACATAGCGTTTGCGATTATCAACACAAATATTTCAACCAATCAATAACGTTTATTTTGAAATGAGATGAATAATCGCGATAATACAAGTTGTCTATGGTTCGTGATTGGTTAGATCATGTGGGAATTCTAAGATAAATGAAATAGCAATTATAATCTAGTTATATGGGCAAATAAATACACGTAGAAGAATTATTTCGTTATGGTTCGTGGCTGCACATGGTGAAAATCATTCATCTGTATAAAACGCAATCAGATAGTCAGATACAAAGGTTCCATAATCCATTCTTTGGGGAGGTGAAAAATCCGGTGCGCGAATTACGAGGCGAATCATACTGGACATGAAGCAGCTGCACCACTTATTGTCCAACACCTGCTGTATTTTTCAGTTTCGGTTTAATAACAATGGCGGATCTGGGCAATGGTGAATGGGGTAATCACCCACCTGGCAGGTAATCTAGAATGTTCGAATCAATTGGCACTGGTGAGGTTGGAGGTCAAGTCAGCTGTCGTTCTTTATACAGGGTGTTCCAAAAAAACCTAACTTCCTTGCTAGGGTAGGTAGAACAATCTATGGTAGAACCATAGATTAAATGTTAGAACTTTGCAAAGTGAGATGGGTTTGCTCAGTAAAAAAATGTCGAAAAAATATTTGTTTTACACATTTTTCACGAATATGTTGCAACTGGCAACATTGTAATGAAATTTTGTATGGATGTGTTTAGAAAGCTGACACATCGCATGAGTTCGTTTTTAGATCTGACACTCATAGAGGACGCTAGTTACACGGATCGTACTGAGTACATTTGAACATAACTTTTCTGAGGTTAGATTTTCCAGTCCAAAT